TTCGATTTAAAATAATCAACTTAGACCCTGCATATTTTCACTTTAGCGCAAAAAAAGTGCACGAAGAAATTTATTTTAGTGCTGAAGATCTTTTAATTTTCTTCAATAAGAAATTGCGCTATTAATTCGTAAAAACGCAAGAAACTTTGAACATACACTACCCACGACAAAGTTTTACAGGCAAAAAAGAACATATTTTAACAATATATAAAAAAATAGTGATGCTTATATTCTTGAAATAAAAAAAATGTTTAACCGAAGACCAAACGTCAGATTTTCAATTTAAAACTGCCATCTTGTAGAGGAAAAAAATGGTTATAATAATGTGTCATTAATTTTTAAATTTTTAAATAATTTCAGTAAAAAATCAAAACGATCCGAAAGTAGTCAGAATTTTTAGTTTCAAAACGGAATTTTATTAAGCATCAAAATACGCAACTTTGCCTAATTTTAACTTATGTCTGAAAGTTTCCGTGATCCCCACGGTGGCCCTCGTATTTGAATCGACCTGTATATAACAGCAACTTCGCTACGACTAACTGTTCACGAGTTATATGCAAAAAAAACGAAAAAAGTAGCATATTATGCCACGTCACGAGTTTAGCTCACTATAATTTACGATACAAAACCCCCGAGAAAGGTGCTAATCTGAATTTGCCGCTGTAGTTTAGTCCCTATCTCTGTTTTTAGAAAAGTGGGTGTTTTCTAATTTTAGGTAAAGTTAGCGAAAAAAAATCGTGGAGTAGCAAATTTTCTTCTTTTACAATAACACAAAATACGTTTCTCTAATTTTTAAAAGAGATGGGTATTTCCGTACTGTCGTGTAAAATCAGGTGTAAAATCCATAAAGCCATTCTAAAAAGTAGTGAAGGAAAGGAAAAACTGCCAATTCCTGTGAAAATCGAGATAGTGTATTTGTAAAGTGAATGTTTCGTTAACTTTACGTATAGTTAACCTCCATTCCCCACAAGCCATTAACCACAAAAATAAGTTCCCGTGAAATCCGATAAAACGAATTTGTAGTTTTAGTGGATGTTTCTGTAACATTTTTTAAAATAAAGAGTAAGTCTACCTAATTTTACTGAAGTTGCCATCATAAAGGAAGATAGTGAAGTGATAAATTTTCTTTTTTCACATCTAAACGACAAAACGAATTCGGTAACTTACTGTGCAAAATGAGAATTGCTATTATAGGTAGATGTTTCTAATTCTATAATATGTCGTCAAATGAAATAGTTTCCTCTCCTACCGCCAATTAACGGCAAAAACTTCTGTGAAAAGACATAATCCGATTTTGTAGTGAGTGTTTCCTTAATAACGTTAAAATTAGCCATACATGTACTATCCTTCTGAACATATATAAAGGGAATTTTAAATTTGCTGAACCGATTTAAATTCTTATAAGACCTAATGTTCAAGTAAAAGGTTTCTATAAAAGCGTAAAAAAGGACCCAAAACCAATGGCTAATTTCAATTTCTTTGGCGACCGAAAAATAAGGAAAGCTTATAAGCTTTTAGTTTGATTTCCCATTCTTTATTAGATTACCTCAAAATCTACACAAGCTACGAAAAACTTTAGATTTAAGAACATAGAATTGTAAACTAGCAATCAAGGGTTTGGGAATTTAAACCATAATTGTAACAAATCTTTGATTGACACAAAGAAATTACGTCCAAATCTGAAAAGTATAATCGTGTTACATTTAAAATTTATGTACCATTAGCCATCGTTCATTTGGAGACAGACAAGGAAGTAGGAATATCAAGTTTGGTTTTAAATATGATACTAATCTGTTTGTGAAGCGCGCATATTTTAAGCTTTAAAGACTAGATCGGTGTTTTTTGCATAACAAATTCGTGTTTTAAGTCCCTAAAGGTTTGTTGACAGATTTTAAAGCCGCCCTGTTTCTGTTGAAAATCAATAATTTCAATTGACCCCATTTATACTTATGAAATTGCTACTCGTAGTAGCGGTAGCGCACAAATAACATAACCGCACAAAAATCGCTAAATTAACAATTTTCTGGTAGACAAATTTCCCTCAAGCTTTCTTACCGTAATAACGTAAAACAACAACTAAACAGCAAGCATACTCCGGATTTATGTTGTGAATTATATTTGTCCCAAGATTACATTACCATTATCTCAAAGCCGCTAGGAAGAAGGTGAATAGGGAGGGAACTGCAGAATATATGGTTCCTTGGAGCTCCACGGCTTTATAGTGCCTTATCTGAGACAACGTAGATGCATTGTCACACGATTTTGCTTTTTACGCACTATTGAACCACTGGTCCGCAAACAATTCCACGTCTAAATTTTATTTAGAAAATTCAATCTAAATACAACATATAAAATTAACTCATCCTCTATCTGTTTCCTAAACACAAAAAGATTAACAAATCGATAAATCTATTCTAGCACCTAATTATATTACTCTTATTACTTTAGTTAACAATCTACAATCGTGAGCATGCAATGAATTCGTTATCGTTCAGCGTACAGGCTTAATTTCCTTTATTCCACTTCCACTACTTTAAGGCCTCTTTGGCTTTCACTGATTCAACCTCACTCAAATACGAAATTCATTGCAACTCGTATGTTTCTCTCTAGAAAGAAAAGTTTGGCACTATTTCAAATGAACGTACGTTCGTAAAGTTGCCACGTAAGATTAATTAATTCTATTATAGGGTTTCGGTAAATCTTGCGAGACTGGAGCTGCAGATGTTGGTTAGTAAGGACTAATCGCGGAAAATGAAATGTAATCACGGCAGAGTTGGAATCAATACGGAACTGTGTTGGAACTTAAACTAGGAACTGTCGACAATGCACCCCTATTCGTTAAAGCGAAGCTAAGTAGATCGGTAATAATTATCGTACCGAATTAAACTCTCAATCAATTTCAAAGGAGAGATATTTTGTTTTCTTCAATTGCGTTTATGAAAACAAAGTTGCTCTAGTATGAGACGTTGTTGTTTATGGACACTTTAGACATCTCTCTCAGTATACGATCGACGCAGAAGGTGCGATTGAGAAGGATTGCGCCAATTCCAGTCACCCGGTACAGTATTGGGCGTTATCACTAGAATCTCCTACCAGAAACTCTATACGTCTTGCTTTTCATGTGTGATTGACTAGGGACAAATGATAACGGCCTTGGCACTTTCAATCCAAAAATGTTGACGTTTTGCTGAACATGGTTTGAAAAATGGTACAACACAATTCCCCGACAAAAGCCAAATGAATTCCATCTATTGAGGTTTCATAATAAATAACCATAATTGTCGTTTGCGAAAGTTGTATAGAATAAGACGTACTTCTATAGGCGAAAATCAAGATGAAATAATACGCTACAATCTTCTGCTTATAATATAGCAATATATAACAACATAAAGAATATTACATTAGGTACATAATCAAATTTACGAAAAAGGCTCAAATTAAGGCAAATGGTTGTGATTCTTTTGTAAGTTATGTCAAATTTATTGTATCAAAAATCATTAAACATTTATAATATAAATATATTTATAATAATCGAGACACAAATTTTTTTATTGTTTCTATAGGCTATCGATTTCAACGTTTACGTCATCTTCAGGCCGAGCTGGAAGTTTACATTAAATAGGAAGAAATTAATTCCAGCTCGGCCTGAGGATGACTGGTAAACGTCGAAATCGATAGCCTATAAAATTAATTAGAAAAGTTTTTTTGGGTCTCGATTCTTCTATTCGTTAGTAATTAGACAATCTGTATGCTTAAATATCATTTGACAACATAAAAAACATGACGAATCCAGTAAAATTATCAAATTAATTAACACAACTACTTTCTTTAATTTAAGTTTTTCTCTTAAATTTGATTATGTAATATAATAAGTTTTTTATACTACTACATATATCCAAAAAAGTGCACTCTTTAGGAATATGTGATGCAAATTAGCACTTGCCGTTAAAAAAATATGCCCTCTTGACCATGCAGAAGTACGCCACAAAAAGTTTTTAATAATTATATTTTTGAGAAATTTTCGAACACTGAAGAACTCAGAACATACATTGGTCATCTACTTATAGTTAAAAATATCTCAAAATTCAGGAAATTTAAAAATTAACAAAACATAATATGCCTAATTACCAAACTACAAATGCAGAGAACACTGCAACCGGACCATAGAACTACATCGAGTAAGAGTAAATTCACTAGATTAATCAAACTGCTGGACGAAGCTCTCAGCGAAGACAGCATCTGTGGGTTCAGTCTTATACAAAAATGCTGGGGAGGGGGTCACCTACACAAGTGTTAATTGCTAATGACTGCACCATTTTTGTCGATTCTACTGAGCTCCTTGGTTGTGAAAAAACGTTTAGAATATTTGGGGTCCACCACTGGGACACAGGTAACGCTATATGAGCAGGGATTGCCTAGATGCCTACCAATTCAGGCGCTAACTAGCCGTCGTCTATGTTATTTGTTTGATTTTTACCTTCCTAGCATGAGCTAGGGTAGCTATTGCGATCACCGTTTTTTGGGTATGTGAAAATTTCATCAAATGTTTTACATGATTTTAAGCAACTTAATCTTTTTCCGTCTGTATGTATGTGCGTATTTTGGCAATTTTCCGATGTAACGGCTCGACGGATTCGGTTAAAATTTTGGATTTGTGTATTAGGCATACGGAAACAAAAAATAACGGGCAGGTTTGAAAAAATATTTTGGAGCGCCGCATTGGCATCGTACATTTTTAAAAAAACAACCTACAATTTTTATTAAGGCATTCAAAAGACCTTATTTTTTTGTGTAGAGCTTGCAAAAATTGTGCCAGGTTTATTACAAAAAAACTGAGAAAAAAATTTACAAGTTAAAAAACTGAATTTTTTTTCGCCAAAACTGAATTAATTTTAATTAAGAATTACAATTATTAATAATATGTTGCCCTGTGATATTAAAATAAAAAAATAAATAAGAGCAATAGATAAACATGAGCAAAAATTTAAAAAAGCGGTCACCAATCCAAATTTTTTTGTTGAGAGCTCAGAACAAGAAAGCGATAATAAATAAATATAAACAAATACTGAGCGGGCTGCTCTGTCAAGAATTTGGCAACTGGTTTTCGGTGTTTTTAGCTCCAAACTTGCATAATTAGGGCATAATTTAAGCTCTTTCAGTGCGTGTTGCCTACCCCTTGCGAACCAGCTACCTCACTTACGGTTTATATGACTGGAAAATCTAGCATCTCGCCATGCGCAAAAAGGGGCGTTTACACAACAAACCCCAACTAATTACATGATCCTCCCCCACCTCAAAAAAAAAATCAGTTAGACAGTTAACAACTAAAGGTCGGCAATATTCCGGAAACTGGTTGTTGTGTGGGAATCCGGAGTGGAAGTGAAGTCTACTAGGGTTAATAATGCCCGGGGTGAATACTGAAAACAATCCAACAAATTTAGAAATCGGCTATAGTTAGCACCTGAATAGGTAGGCACCCCCCACTCGTGGCTTATTTGTTCCCAGTGCTCGACCCCAAATATTCTAAACGTGATGAGAATTGAGACTCAAAAACAACAACAAAACAATGGAGGAATGCATCGATAAGGTTCTAAACGTGTTTTCACAACCATGATGCTTCTTGGGTCGAAAAAAGTGATCCAGTCCTTAACAATCAACATTGTGTATTTACCCTCCGCCCCTCATAACGGGAGTTCCAGGGGCAATGGCATGGCACAACATCAGAACTTTAACAGGAAGGGTGAAAGAGCATATGAGCCAATTTTCATAGCTTTACTAAAAAGTGCGAACTTTTTTTCTAATCTTCCAGCTTTCTGACAATAAAAAAACTCATTTTAAATTGCCCAAACAAATTTCTTTCGCAATCCCATTTTTTTGGAATTCTACACTTCTTAACACAAAAATTGCTTTTCACCGGATCGCTCATAGAAAAACATGTACCCTAAAGTGAGTACTAAAAGAACCAATGGAATATTTGAACTATGATCAAACTCACTCAACCCCCTAAAGCTAAACTTAAAATCGGATAACAAGGTGTTTTGCTGGGAAAGTATTCACTGGAGATGTAACCTCTAAATTTATTATTCAACACTAAACATAAAAATATTCGTTTCTTTTATACTATTAGAAAAATGTTCAGAATATCGTCTCATCTGAAGAACATTCCATAGATCAAAAAGGGGAGGGTGCCTTTTTTGGGCTGCAGCTCAAGTAAATATTGTTAATTTAATAATAAAATAGAAAATAATAATCAAAAGAGGCTTTCCAACAACGACCCGATTTGGAAAACAAATAGAAATGTTAGTTTGTGCATAGAGCCGGTTCCAGGTAGGGTATGGGCGCATTGATGATTTTTCTAGAGTATCCAGTTCAGCAATTGCTTTAAATTGGAAAATATGAAGTGTGTTTAATCGAGTTTCTCAGAAGGAAACTGAAATTGTAGGAGATTTTAAAATTATTAATTATCTTCGAAACGAAAAAAGAAGGGTACATTGGGTTGAAATGGAATAGACATAAAAAAATGAAGTAAGTACCTATCAATTTAGTTTGTTTCATAAAAGAGGTCGTGTTCACATCTCCTATTCCCAGCCAGCTTAATGGTGTTTATTACGAGAAAACGATTGCACACAGAATTTTTGCACATAACAAATACTCAAACAAGTTCTTGTCTCCCATCTCATGACTAAAACAAATGGACTGCAAGTTCTAAGAAAAAAACTGATTTTTTCCAAACATTACGATGAGCAATAAATTTTGGAAATTTGCCCCAGCAACATGATCTAATTTTTTGTATTAAACTAAAAAAATGGCATCTTAGCACCTTATTTTAGTGACAGATGAGCGAAACAGGTCTGCCAGTCATCCATATTTTATAAATTGGTACCTAATAAGAGATTAGCACCAGGAACATACTGGGAAATCCGTGTATAATTTTCTAAATTAAATTAATTCCAATCCAGTGGAGGTGGTAACCGAGAGAATTCTCAGAGACAGCGATTGTGGCTCTAAAATCCTGATATTGGACCAGTCGGTAAGTTTCGTCGGTTTTTAAAAGCAAAATCTTGGAAAATGGCAACTTGACAAACATGCGGTTCCATTTCAATGAACTACAATGTACAATATTAATATTATACCAAAATTTACATTAAAGTTGTCCATCACATCATCTTGGTAATACCCTGTATTAAAAATACTGTCCTCGGTCGATTTTTTTTGTTTGCGAAAGAGTTCTCCGGGGTAAATTAATGAACAATAACACGTAACTATTCACATTTCATTAGTGTTTAGGGTTATTTAATGTTTAACTAACCGCTACACAAGTGCCGGTTCTCCTTCATATCCTTCGTCTGGACTTTCAGTTAAGACCTCATTAAGTGGATCGTTCCGTGTGTCTAAAGCCGAGGCCGAATTAGACGAAGTTAAATGTTCCGAGTTCTCCGCTTCCTTTTCGGCATTATCAGTTTGCGCACCGACACAACGTTTACTGACGACACTCGAAACTTTCGGTTTGTTATAATCCGGATCGGAATTAATAGAATGTAAATTCGCCGGAACACAATGGGGCCACTGCACACTTGAAGCGGGACAGCATGGTAGAGAAGATGGTGCCAGACCGTCCCCTTTGTATTCCTCGGGGTGCGACGCTATAAATTCAGGCGGGGTTTCGGTCGACCTCGCCGGATAACCGTCCGCTGTATATCTAACCCCGGGGCAATAATGCTCATATGCGGCGGGTTGCGAACTTCGAGACAAAAATTCGGCCTCCCTCGAAAATCGAGTTATAGGATTAGCGGCCGAGTTTCTTTTGTTCGCTCTATAAGGGAGCGTTCTATAGAAATTATCGTTGTGTTGTTGTTGTAAAGACCTGCCGTGTACTTTGGGTAGGCCGTAGTCGGAGGGGTACCCTTCGGGGTCTAACAAACAACTGGGGTTCAGATGCACGTCTGTATAGAATTCTCTAGTCTCTCGCATGCAGGGTATTTGTACAAAGCTTTGTGAAATTGCTGGGTTTACTATGTTTTCTACGCCTTCAGTGTAATTGTTGTCGCATCCCGTCTCACCCTCGCGGCGCCGACCTCCCGTCTCTGTGTCGTTGATAAGGTCGGGATTCTGCTCCAACTGATAACGTCTGAGAGATGTGGGACTTCTAATGTGATTAGAAGGGGCGATCGGAGACAACGTTCGTAGAAAATTCTCGGCGGGGTGAGGATTGTAAGTCACCTCTTGCTGATTATCTTGAGCCCTGTTTTCCTTAATCTGATCGAACTCTAAATTTTCACGGAGCGCCGCCGTTTGTTGATACTGTAGCGCGACCTCTTTCGTCTTGTCCCTTTTTTGTTGTCGTTTACGATTCTTTCTGCATTTTAGAATGGATAATATGATTACAACGACAACCAGAAAGAAAACTACGACCACTAATCCTAGTACAGCGGGCAGATACTCAAAAGGGAATAAGACTATGATTACCATCGGTTCCTCTTTTACGATTATTCGGATTGTAAAATTCGATTGCGAATTTCCCGCGGCGTTTTCAGCGTTGCAAATAAAAGTCCCATTGTCTTCCGTGTTTGTGTTGTAAATAAATAACTCACTTCGTTTTTCTTCGGAGCCTTCTTCTATGTAATATAATAAATGTACTCCTGGAGCTACTAATGTATCATTCTGTAAGACACGTCCCTGAAACCACCACGATACATGCGCTTCGGGTGCCGCATTCACATTACACAGCAAAGATACGTTCTTTCCCTCAGAAATTTCTAGGTAAAATGTGGTGGGCGACACATCCGGGAGACAAGCCAGCTCTGTGCTCGGAACGGAGCCGATGGCACGTCCCGATAATCGACTTGGGCCCCGACACGTCGGTGACATCGAATTTGGAAGGTTAATATCGCTCAGCCATGCATGAAGATCAACAATATGGCAGTCGCATTCCCACGGGTTGTTCAGCAGCTCAACCCCCCTCAAAGATTCCGGCAAGGTACGAGTTCCTTTGAGCGTCGTTAGCTTGTTTCCGTCCAAGTAGAGCCTTTCCAAACTGTTCAGGCCCAGAAACGCCCCCTCCTCGACGTAAGAAACTTCGCAATCGCTCAGCACGAGCGTATTCAAGTAAGACAGGTGGTTGAAAGCCGAACTCCGCAATATTCTGATGGGATTCGAGCTGAGCGTCAGTCTCATTAGTGACGGACAATCACGGAACGCTTCCGTAGGAACCGACGCCAACAAATTTCCGGATAAGTCTAATTCTACTAAATTAGTTAGACCGCGAAACGATCGATCGTCGATGCTCGATATTTTACAACGCGAAAGGTAAATTCGTTGCAAATGAATGAGGCCCATCCTTTGGAATATCTCCTTACTTAAAAATCGCAAACTATTATCCCAGAATTCGAGAACTTGCGTACCGGGATCGATCCCCTCGGGAATGGCTAGCAGGTTTCTGTTGTTACACTCGACCGTCTGTTTACCGTTTTTCCACTTACACACGCACAATTTTGGGCACGCTCGCGCTTTTCGTAGGACTATCGCTAAGGCTAGTAACACGCACAATGTCCTTAAACATGTATTCATGCTGCGAACAGATTTCACATCGGCTCAATTTTCAGTGTTTCCCCTTCATCCATCTTTCTCGCTGTCTATCTGCAAGAAAAAAAAGGTATTAGTTTTACGGTAAATTGCTTTAGCAAATACACTTGGAGTGTAAATATCGTTTGAAGTGTTTTATTTATTGGTACGTTTCTCGGTGGATTGATTACGTTTGGTCAGAGGACCACATTTCCAATTCAGAACTTGTCTACTTCAATAAATGGCCGTACAATAAAGAACGATAGCGTCGGCCCTACTTTTTACATTTCACATTTGTTTCTGGTTTGCTTTGTTACAACAAATCCCCCAATACATTTATATCTAATACCTGCGATTTGTTACAGGAAATTAACGCAACATTTTTAACAATTGTTTCGCGCCAAGGTCCAACGCACAAAAAGCAGACAACGTAAACGCTCAAGCTTTCGAGTGGAAGTGGAGAGATATATCAGTGCTTTAAATAATGGGTTCGTTCATTACTACGGATTAAGATATTGCAGAGGATTTACGATATGGATTTGCTTTATACTGCATGTTTTTGTATAATCCCCTCGCCCTTTTTTGACCTTGCCCTAACAATGCGAGTGCGAGCTGATAAATCAGGAGCGCTCCAAACATTCAATGAACGGAAAAAATTATTAGATTATTATTTTTTGTCACGAACGCCATAAACAAGGCTTTTGTATGGGTCTGTGGAGGTATATCAGGGACTTTCATAGTTATTGCCGCTTTTTGTGTTTCAAGAGGTTAGCCTGCACTCAATGATATTATATCTGGGTAAGTTCACGTTTTAATTAATAAGAGCTTTTGTATTTATTTCTCTTTATAACCAAGTTGCGTTGTTGACAAGTTAATATAACTACTTGTGTATCTCTTCAAACCGCCAACATTAGCTAATGGCTGTACAAACATTCTACATTGTTGTAATATGTAATGGAAAGTACAGTTTTCACTCACATTTATTTTCGTACAGATGCATAAACACGAATGTGGTTGGAGGACTCCTCCTTTTTTTCCTATAAGCTAAATTCAGTACCGTAACGTACAGAGGGGGTACAAAGATTTCATATAGAAATAAATTACAATTTACAAACCACATCTGTAAGTTACACTCCCTGCCCCCCACGGAAAGAGCATTTTCAGTTGTATTTTGGAGTCGTGTCTCCAATAGACGGCCATGGGTATAATCCCTCACATACGGTGTAAACCAAACACTTTAAATCCATTTAGGGATGATAATAAATCCTGTTACCCATTGTACGCACTTATTATTACCATACCTCACAAGTATGGGGAAGTTTAGTGAAGCTAAGGGGTAGGCATACCTCAATAAAATACTGCCACTATATTGCATTTTTGCTAATTGTTTGCACTTCTACAAAACACAGATTTATCTAGGAACAGGATTTTTTCAGAAAAAAAAACCCTCAAACTACACTTACTACACGATTCCTTAACAAAGACATTGTAAGATAACATAGAAGAGCGTAGAATCCGGTCTTCGGGACCATGATTTGAAATGGTTCATATCGGACAGAGACTCGGACCGATCCCGTCGAAAGACCGATACAAAAGAAACATCACTAATCTGAAAATGATGACCCAATGAGTCATAACATCTCCGGCACAAAGGAAAGCAGAGACGGAGAGAAAGTAGAAGGAGAGCGGAAATAAAATAGAGGGGGGATGAGAGCAGAGGAAATCAAAAACATGTAAGAATTAATGGAAAAGCTGATGGAAACAGTAAAGGAGAGAGGGCGGCAAAGGAAACAAAGGAACACCGAAAAAAACGATGAGAGAAGAAATAGGAGGGGTAAGAGAAGAAAGAAGAGAAGGAAAGAGCAATGGGTAAAAGAGGAACTTACGAAATAGCAAAATTAGAGGAAGAAAATGCGAGAAAGAAAAGGGAGAAGATATTGGATAATATAAAAGTAAAAAGAATAAAGATGGAATATGGAAAAGAGAGAGAAGGCAATGAGAAATGGTTAAAAGAAAACCTACAAGTATAATAGGCGAACGTAAAAGAGGCGAAAACAATTAAGGTGGGGGTAAAGAAGAGGAAAATTGGGAGGGGTAAGACAAAGTTAAAATAAGGTGGGATATACACAGTTGACGAGTTAACGTATTATAAAAAAATTTGCTGTGGCTAGCACAGATACCACTGGCACACCTGCGCATGCGCGATTCTGCCTCTTTATGTCTAAGAATATGTGTACCAAATTTGGCTCCAAATGGGTTCATTCGTTGAGCCGAAAATGAGAGTAGAAGCAGACCGACAGATCGAGATTTTTGTTTGATTGGGAATCCTGTTGCTTCAAAACGTGCATTTTCTATTTAAGAAAATGTGGATCATGTTTTACCCCAATACAATACCTCCCATTTGACGTGCGGGTGGTAAAAAGAGTTAAAGGTGGAAGAAATAAAAGAGGAGGAAGTAATACAGGAAAGAAAAGTGAAAGGGAAGAAAATGAGAATTATAACAGAGAATAAAGAAGATGGGAGTAGGAACACAGGAAAGAAAATCAAGAGATAAAGAGAGCAGCAAAGAGGAAGACGTGTTATTGGAATTATCAGGAAAGAGGTGATGGGGGACTCTAAACGGAAATATCGCGGGATAAGAGACGGACAATTTAGATACACGAGAGGAAGGGGGAGATATGCAACTGATTATACCTTAGTAAATGAAAAAATACTGGAAGAAATAAAAGAATTGAAAATAGGTATAAGGATACCATCGGATCACCAACCGATGGAAATGAACTTAAATATATAAAGATAAGAAATCAAAAAAGGGAAACATGCAAAAAGAAGGGAAATACAGTTATGGACCAGAGACATTGCGAAGCTGTGTAGAAGGAGATTCGAGAACCAAGGAGAAGAAATAGGAGGGAGTACAGATGAAGGGTGGGATAGAATAATAACATGGAAACAGATAATTGAAGGAGCGGAGAGAAAAAAAAAGAAGAACGGGAAATAAAGACAGAAGGATTTTTTGGAAGGTAATAAATAAGGAAAGCGGCAGGTAGAAACGAATTTGGAAATGAGGCTTGGGTTTTTACGTTATAGTGTCAATGAAAGGATGAGGAATCTAGTAAATAGGATATGTAAAGAAGAGGGTTTACCTGAAGATTCGAAGGAAGGGATAACAGTGCCGATTTTCAATAGGTGATAAAGATTGTGTGGAAAATGATAGGGGAATTATGATAATGACGATGGTCTATAGAATCTACGCAATGGTACTGAATGAATGAAAGATTAGAAAGAGAAATGGAAGGATGTTGGAGGAAACACAAGTGGGCTTCAGAAAAGAGAGGGGATAATCGACTGTATGTGTTTATTACACAGATTAGTGGAAAAGGTATTGGAAAAAAAGAGTTGAAAGGCTTAAAAGCAGCGTTTGGCAGAATGGAAAGGGAAAAAGTATGGAAGATGATGGAAAATAGGGAAATAGACAAAAAGTTAAAGGACCAGTTCCTGGTTCCAACCTGGGTTCGGGCATTGATATTTTTAAAATGTATGGTGGGTTGGGTTGGTAGAGCAGCCTCGGTTTAAACCCCACCCACTCACAAATAAAGGCAAAGAAATAAGAGAGTAAAAATAGAAGAGAAAGAGTTTTGGACAAATAAAAAAACAAACACATGGATGCCCACTTAACCCAACCTTTATCCTCTACATAAAAGACATGGACAAGATGGAAAGATCATAGAGGGTAGAATGGAGAGGTATTGGAAAGGAAAGGAATGGAGATAAATGTGGAAAAGTCGAAGATGGTAGGATTTGAGAGAGGGGGTGAAAGAAAAAGAAAGAGAGAGAGGGAAGAAAAGAAGAGGCCAGAGAAGTTACATATTTAATTTACCAAATGCAAAGAAATAATGAGGCCAATGCATAAATAACAGAATTACAAAAAAGGGGGTGGTGGCGATGAGAAAAGTGTGGAGAATAGGAGGGAGGGATTTCAAAAATGACTTCATAATAGGAAAACACCTGTTCGATGCAATGGCCAGAGGGGATATCGGGGCGGATGGATTGAGATGAAATTGAAGGGATACAAAGAAGAATGTATACTAGTGGTGGAAACAAAAATGGAGAAGATTAGGATAGCGTCTGGGCGCAAGGCGATATGGTTAGAGTAAAAGAGTGAAAGATGAAGCGATTTGGTGAAAAAGTGCTTGATAAAGTGGATTAACGCAACAGGAATGTGAGAAAATATTATGAAAGAAATGGATACGGACGGGCTAATGCCCAAAGGCGGAGAAGAATAGGGGAAAGGATGGAAAATGAACTGGCTAGTGGCACAAATACGGCAACAAAGAGTGAATAGAGAGAGCACTGAGGAGAGGAAGTAGTACTTACGAGTTTATGATAAGGAAATGGTTACCAAAATACTTAGGAAAGGAAGGAAACGTATTAAAATAATGGCGAAATTCAAATGGAGAGAACGAAGACATGCTATGGAATTGCAAGGAGGTGGGAAGTGCAGGGACAAGCAGGAGTGATGTGCTGGAAGAGGGTGAAAAGGTGTGAAATGGATGAAGCGGATACTAACGAAAAGAAGAAAAGAACTATCATCCCTATCTTAAATTATTGTAAAAGTTTTACCAATAGCCAACGGCGTTAAATAAATTTCATTGTATGAGAAGCTTACGCAAGAATTAGCAGCAGTTAGGGGCAATTTAAGTAAAGCGTTCGATACTGTACCAAACATAATTATTCCAATTATCTTTTCGAGACAAAGTCGGAAACAAAGTCCAACAAAGGTAACAAAAAGCGCCGAGTTAATAAAGTTAGCTAACGCTATGTTAAACCCCATGACGGCGATTTATTTGCATTGTCATCGTTTATTGATTTCATCCAATAAGTGGAGGAATTTGCAAATAATCAAACGGAAACTTTTATTTAAATTTGTTAAAAAATTAAGATTTACAATGATCCATTTTGGTGTGATTGTACATATTATGAAACTACAAAAAAAAATGTGGAAGCTATACAATGGTCATGTAAATCCATACATGTTTATTGCTTAAGGTAAAACGTTAAGCAACTGCTTAA